ATACTTAAGTGATTAATTTACAGTACAAGTAATGGCACAGTTTCCATTTGGGTCATTCAGCACGATGATACTGTGACACTCAATCCGTAAGGCTTGGTTTAAAAGTAGATATTATTTTAGCTAAGGTCGGGAACTGTTAATACAACACAATCTCAGTATGTGACTGTTTTTTGTTTTTCTTCTTTTTATTGCGTCACACTTGGCCTCCTTGAAACTGAAAAACAATCCTCTGCTAAACCACCATCAAAAGCCACCTACGAAAAGGCTTGTGTACCTTTGTTTCGAGGAGTACGGTGCTCTGCTAGAAATTGCATTTAATTGTTGTTCACTTTGGCAGAGCTGACGAATGTAGTTTTGTTCCTGGAATTATAAACAGTTGGTAGCGTGAGGTGACGTGACTCGATATGTGTGTGTGTGCACATATCGCACACAAAAAAAATGGAAGATGGGGGTCTTCAGCGACTGAATCGTCCTACAGTGTGGTGTGTTTGGGGTGAGAGGGGGGCTGAGAAAGTTCCCTTGGCTTTACTGGGTAATCCCTTGATAAATAAACTGGGAAGAAAGACCACCGCTGCTATCTGTAAGCCAATACTCCCCAAGAGAAGGGATGGCCCTGGGCTTGGCTGGCTTGGAGCTGATTCTCTCGCTGTGCTCTTTTTCTGTTCTCTTGCTACAGGAAGATTCCTGCATAAAGCACAGATAACACACACTTACATTTGGAGCACATGGATCCCTGCCGCACACCTTTTGTGAGATAAAAATAAATTATTGTTATATGGAGCGGAGCTATGTCTGTCCTCCTGCAAAACACTAAATCCCCAACTTGTAAAGCACATGCATGTACTGTCGTTGTAAAAACACTGATCCATCACGCCTGCCTGCAGCGCTAGAAATCAAATTTCATTGGGTAGCTCAAATGCACATAGAATACATGCCTTGTATTTCCCCAAAGTCTTCCCACGTGGGGAACATGCCTCCCCATCAATCTGCCCCCTCCGTCAGTCTCTGTCCTCAGGCAATCATATAAGGAATGCTCCACAAAATAGCTGAAATTGTGAAGGTATAACAAGGACAAACAGGTGGTCGCACACACATACACACTCAAAACCGAGTACTCAAGCTGTGCCCAAATGAGATTTTCATTCTCACGCCATCAGCAGGTCAGGAGAGATAATTGATTTATGGCCATGTTTTAGCCCATGTCGTTATTCAGCCTGTCATCTGATTGGCCCTGAGGATTATGCGGTCATAAAATCCAACCTATAAGAACATGGCTCTATTTCTCAGGAGGATCCTTAAGGGGATGCTGTTTATTTTCCCTAAAATGACTTTGTGTTCTGTTTACCCGGTTGTGTGTTTAGTTAGGCGTAGGAATGATTTGTGTTTTGTTATTTTGTTTTGAAATGCAGGCATTTTCCCAATCTTCCCCGGCCTCTTCAGAAGTACTGCATTTAATAATAATACAAAAAAACTCTTCCCTGTGGTTTGGTTGTAAAAATCAACGGGTAATGCAAACAGAACTGTGAGTGACCTCCTCTCCGTGTTCATATTTTACGCAGATGTTTACTTTTTTTTGTCTCGGAGAGTAGCAAAGTGTCACACAAAGGCAGGTGAGAAATGGCACTGGATTTGAAATTTTAGGCCTTTTTTCGGAAAGTTCACGACGACGGTATTAGATCCAGCCTAAATCCTCCATTTATCACCACTACAGAGAAACGATCATCTATAACTCTGGCTTTTTTTTTTTTTTTTATGAGCTGAACTTTACAGAACGAGCACAAAATAAAACATTTGGGAGGTACAAGTTTGCAGTTCAGTAGCAATAAATAATGTAAAAGCCTACTGCATGTATTCCCTCTGTTTTAAACTAGTGACACCATAACAGTACTCTAGTTGATTTTTGGTATTTAAAATGTGTTTTTTCTTGTTGCTGCTTGAGTATGGTACTATGTGTTTATATTTTGCCGAGGCCGTGAGCAGTATGAAAGACTGCTCAACTGAATAATGCTGTTTTTCCACCACTTTTATGCCACATTAAGTCAGAACTTATACATCAGATGGCACATAAAACTCATTGTCCTCAAAACTCGCATACAAATACATACAGTAGCAGCAGGGGCAACCACGTAATACAGGATTTTGACCTGAAAAGGCTGTTAAATGTTTACACCAATGATTAAAAACAGACTTAATTGCTGATCCTTCGCAGGAATTTTGACAGAAAGCTTGTGGCCAATGTTACGCTGCACTACATAGTGTGATTTTGAGTTCAGAAACAATCACCCACATTTACATTTTCCTACATTTGACATGTCCTTTATGTGCTTATATTGGTTACTGTCGACCAGATCAAAGGATCCACAACAGATTCGGTATTTAAGGCCTAACTGCATCAACTTAATACATCCTAAATTCATGTGGTACAAGCACACAGACAGCATGCACTAAGAGTTTAAACCAAAAGGCCACACACACAACAGATTAGAAAAAGTGCAAATGCATGCTGAAAATGATTGCTCCTTTTTTTTTTTCACATTTACACTTAAGACTGTTATGGGGAAAAATTCTATTTACCCATCATGGTCCTCTGCCTGGTCAATCATAACAAGGTTACATGCACCAGCACAAAATGTAGCAAATGATAAAGTATAATTAAAATACAAATAGGATAAAGTGTTCAAAAAATGATTATAAAAAAACACTATTTCCCTAATAAAGAGCTGCGACTGCAGTTACAGACAAGTCGAGTCTTGGTTCTGCTCAGCAATTTGCACACATGCCTCCTGCGCAGCCTGCCAACTTCACCACTTTGATACAAACACACGCACTCTCCCACATGTGCGCTGCTGTAGACCTCCCAAACGGCAGAGCATGATGTCATGGGACTTTACATTGTCTGAAGTATGTGTTGTGAATCTAAGAGATGAGTTAAAGAATTTTTTTTGGCTAAATAAGGAAGAGGCCTTTTTTTTCACTTCAGCAGCATCTGCCATACAGGCCAAATATTTATTTTAGTTCATGAAAAAAAAGGTTAAGCAGGTTTGCACAATGAAATGAAACAGTCTTGACATTTATAGCTTCACTAATTCCCACCGTCGTCTTGCTACTGTTAATTGATGGAGTGATATCAAATCATGAAAGACAATACACAGCTTTAACATTCGTGTTCCAATAATCGTAAGTATATATCACGTTTGCCGACGGTATGCAAATGAGATAAACAGCGACCGCCCCGCAGAAGCGTTGCAGCACATGCAAAGAGCACCGGGCTTTGTGCGTTGACAGGCTACTCGGACAAAACAGTTGCCGTGTTCTATCTTTTCTCGCCACCACAATGCAACGTGCCGTGTTTGCATGTGCGGCTGCGCGCATGTGTGGCTGGGGGTCGCTCTACCACATGTGAGCGTGTTTTATGGGTCCGGAGGGAGTTAAGGTTAATGCAGTAAAACAACCTTCCGCGTGCCCAGCGTCTGCCTTAAGAGAGGATTTAAGACCTGAGTGTAGTGAAGAAGTTTCGAGCAAAAACGTTGTAGTGAAGAGTTGGAGTGCAGTGAAGAAGAAATAAAGTGTTCAGGTCGTTAGTTATGGAGCTACCTTCCATTGACCGTCCCACTGCTCAGGAGCTGTTATGTAGAAACTTCCATTTATACGGCACACGAGACGACAGATCTGCCTCACCCTGGAGGGAGGATGTATTTTTAGAACGATGGCAAGAAACATTTTGTCACTGTTAACACATATTTCAGCTGCTTCCAGACTAATCCAAACTCTTCCCAGCATGTCGACACGCCCCTTTATGCAACAGTTTAAAACGCACATGTTTGTTCATTGCTTTTCAGATTGAGTTTATGTTTTTGTTCCCGCAATCCAGTGTTTTGGGCCTCCTCACAGTCCCTCCTAAACACAGCCATCAGCGTGGCAGTGTGTCTAACAGAATGATGGTAAAGTTTGATTGTTTTTACTAGTGTGCATGTAGAGGCTGCCCTGCAGGATTAGTATCAGAGCTGATACTGCATTGTGTTATACTCACTTAAAAATTGCACTTTTTTTAAATTGTGTTTTTCAAAATAAACATCTTTCTTTAATTCAAAGCAATATTCTTAGTTAAGGAGGCCACGTGATCTTCCATTTATTCACTTGATTTTACTGTATGGTTCTAATTGCTGAGAATGAGGCGACCACAGAAGCAGGCCTGAATCATTTCCACTGCTTTCTTACTGTAAGGCTCCCATTTCTAAATCACAAATGAATAAATTATGCCGCAAAAGATGACGTAGTCCAGTTGGATGCCCTTACATGGTAGAGTGACTCATCCCTCTAGACAAAGCAGCGTATATGCGCTGATCACTATAAGGAGTTTTTCAGCCCGGCGTGCGAGAGCCATTACAGTCTGTCTCTTTGGCTAATTGAGGACCACTTAATAACGCTGCGCAGAGGCTTTTAAGCCAATGAGATGTCATTGATTTTACCTCTCGCTTTGAGGCCCACGCCCCTTCATTCTCGTGACCCCGCCGTCTCCTCCTCTCCGCTGCAGGCTTTAATAGCCCTCCGGAGATACTTGCCATCGTTGCCAACCGTCTACACGTGCGTTCACCTCCATGAGGTAGTGGAATGTTCTACATTTACTGTCAGCCCTCCTGGCAATAACTCACTCATCCCACCATTTTCTTTCATCACACCCTTCACTCCTACGCCCACCGTTTTTCCCATGTTGTCTATTACTCTGAACTTTGTTCCATAATTCTTGCCACCTTTTTATTTTGCTTTTTGCTCTGTAATTATTCAACTGAACCATTGGAATACTTGATTTCAAACAGCCTTGGCATCAGTCTGGAAAAAGGTGTTCCCTTTCTTAATAAATTGGGTGCTACGTTTGTGTGTTAATGCTCTCTGTGGTGTAGGTGTCAATTGGTGGTTTGGACGCCACCCTGCAGCCCCACCCACGCTTTTACATGTTTTCTTAGCTCAACAGGTGCGTGTTTGCTCTGCTCTCCCCACAGGTGGACAAGGTGTGTGGCCTGACTACGGGCGAACCTACAGGCATGCAGCCTACGAGCCCAGAGGTCACAACCTCTAGCGTGACCTCATCTTCTCCTCTTCCATCTGCCGCCCCCTCCCGCCCTTTACCAGAGCAGTGGCCGGCGCAGCTAGCCCACTTAAGGAGGTAAGACGAAGCTGAGAACTAAACTGTGATTAATTCAGTCAGATTCAAATGTTGACTACTGCCTGTTGTAAATGTTTTATTTATTTTTTTGCTGGCAAATATTCACATGCAGGTTTTGGCCTGTTAATTAGCTGTACTGCTGGATAGTCCGCTACATGGAAAGTGATTGTAAATTCAATGGTTTAAAACATTTTTTAAAAAAATAGCCTGAAGGGTTGGCCAATGTCTTTTCACAGCTGCCATAACTTCTTGCTTTCTTCATATGGTTAGTTGGACACCACACACACTCGCACACAGTAAATGTAGTGCCTGGCACTAGAATCCGTGCCCTCCACCTGGCCCCCGAGGCAGCCATCCCATGCCCACAGCAGCTGGTAGTGAGGGGGAGTGTGGGTAAGATTAATCTTGACGGACCAACAATTTCCTGTTTACCCAGACGGCCATACCACCAACCCTGCACACCAGCCGGCTTCGGCTTAAATAGCACCACACACAAAAAAAACACACACAGACACACTATTGCTTGCCTGACCTTGTCCCAAACCATGAATCACTGCACTGATGCCAGCCTAGCTGACAGGTCTGGCCTGGCACTGCCACCACCATTCATGGCAGCACAATCCAGCTTACTGCGTGCTGCCAACGCTGACCAGAGCACATGTGACCGCTGACCACTTCAGAGGCATGGCAGCACCCGGCGTACTGAAGGGAGAATAGTGTGCTGCTGAAAAATATGAAACATGATAGAGTAGAGCAACATTCGTGTTTTGCTTTAATGGAGGAAAAAAAAGGTGAATTGAGGAATTCATCCAAACTTTCTTGGGCTCTCCTGTGAATATTTAACTGTTTGTGCAGATGTTTGCTTGTGTTTGTTTACTGACTTCACATATGCATTGCATACCATTATCTGTTTTAATTTTTTTTGATGTGTGGGGAGAAATGGTTATTGGTTTTATCTGTGGTGTGACCAGTCTCTGCATGTGCATGATTAATCACTCTCTTCCAGGGTCAATTCACTGTCTTTTCTCCCTCTTCCTTGTGTGTCTTGTCGTGTTGTTCTTTTGTTTCCTTTTTCTTTCTCTCAACCCCCCTTCCACCTCCCTGCATTTTCCTTGCTTGCAACAATTTCCCTTGGACTCCAACTCCCATCATTCCCAGCTCATTCCCCCTGAAACCTTCCAAGAACAATAAACATAGTCTGAGAACGCTCTCTAGGTAAGCATGAACCGAAGGGACTTATTTGTCTCAATTCCTCACACAATTTATTCAGAAACGACAGCTCACACATTGTCGTGACTCCTATAGATATAGCTGTAACTGTTGTTGATATTTGTGTTTTGCACTTGTGTCGATGCCTCACGAAACACATTCCCTCTCGCTTTTGAACAGTGATTTCACTGACTGACTCAGCACATCACCTCTCGTGACCCCTACTCTTTTTGCTCAGCCTCACGGGTGGCAGCAACGTGTGTCCGATCAAAATGTTGTGCCATTGTTTTGCTCGAGATGACGGGCTTTATATCGACAACATGTGTTAGCAGATCTGGTGAAGCAAGCACTTCACCACGCGGCGTAATTGAGAAAAATGTGCTGATGCAGTGAAGTGGTCGCATTCAAAGCCGTTAATTTTCTTCCACCATCGATACCCGCACACGTATTTGTCACGTGCATTGTTGAATAGAATGCAGATCCTGTTTGTTGTTAGTGGTATTGCATCAAATTATTATGTTGAGAAGCGTGTCTACTAGCCACACTAAAAACGTGTCCACATATGCCAGAATCACACAGTGCATTCCTCTGTTGTATGTTTTCTAACATGGCTATTAATTCAGAAAGATAAGTGTATTGACATGTGTATAAAACTTGCTCTGTGCACTTTCTCCTTGTTTTTTTTTCCCCCTCAGGGAGTTCTTGATGCACCTGCAGCGCTATAAGTCCTTCTTTGCGGCATTGCCAGAGATGCTGTGTGAAGGCGAGAATGTAGTGGATGACTCCACTTGTTGGAGCGGAGATGGTGTGGTGGAAAGGTAAGAGAAACGGGCTCAGTTGCCCCTTATTACTTTGCTTTACTACGCTGGAGCTGCAGTGTTTAGAGATGAAAACGTTCATTTTCTCTGAATGACTTTATCGTGCTGTAGATGCTGCCTTGTGGGCATCGTTTCAAAAAAATGTCCTTCCACTTCCACCTGAGATTTAATACTTTAAACGCCTAGCTTTGAGCAATCTTGGGTTTTGAATACATTGAGATGCAAGAAAAAGTGACAAAACCTCTGTGCTGTGAGCCACGCTGACTCACTGACGCTGTGAGTCAATGTGGCCTCACTGTTGTTGATCACTGTGGAAATAAGGAAGTCATTAAATCCATCTCCACGTTGAGTGAATGCAGGCAGAACAAATAAGTGCACGGCCGTCCTCTCCTTTGTATTAGAGTCAGTTAATAAATTGTTATCTGTGCCTCGCTCTCTTTATTTCTCCTCCATTCTCTTTCTTTCCTGTATTTATGGGAGTTTTATGTTGTGTTGATTTATACACGTAGCCTTGGAACTGTTTCCCTGCTTATGGGTTTGGGCGCATCTCTCAAAGACTGACGTTGCTTAGTGTGTGCGTGTGTGTGTGTGTGTGTGTGTGTGTGTGTGTGCACTTTCTCAGTCAGCATGAGAAGAACAGAGACATGATGCAGATTACTCAGCCAGTGTGAGTCTGCAAATGATTCCCCCTGCTGGATCTGTTTCTTAAACACTCTAGAAGCTCAGTCCACGATTATGACAAGGTTACGCTCTCCCTCTTTTTTTGCGGTGGCCTTAAACTGGCTCCCCTTACCATGGCAACCTCAGCTCCTGGCACTGCCAGTATTAACTTTGACAGAGGAAAACAGAGGTTTTCCCCCATGAGTGTTTGTCAGGTCATTTGGCCCTTGTTCGTTATGCTGGATTAAGCCATACATTATGCTCAAGATGAGTACACGGGAAGACATTACATACAAGAACAGATGTCTCGGATTCCAAGAAGACACTTTTTATTATCCTCTGTGGTTGGCAAAAGCATTTTGTCAGAGATCTTCATGAGGAAATTAGGCTTCTTTCCAGATCTTATTTGACTTCTCTTCTCTCCTCTCCTCTCCTCTCCTCTCCTCT